ATCATGGACCATTGGATCAGTTACATCAATGGTCATTATAAAGTAAAAATTAAATTATAATGATAAAAACTGCATGGCAAAATTGTAATTACATTATCATTTCATGGACAAATAAATAGCTTGGAGGGCAGTAGTGTAATTTAGCCCACATAAATTAAGTGGGGCTCACCCATTAACTAACCCTCCATCCTCTCACCTCTTTCCTCTATCTTCTCTCTCGCCTCACAGATCCAGCACGTCTCCATCGTCTCCATTGAAGTCGGCGGCCACAACCTTCCGCCACCAAACCGCCGCAACCACAGCTCCGACCGACCCCGTCGCCACCTCCGGCACAACATCCGGCACCTGCTTCCAATAAGGCATGTCCGACGATTGTCTCTCCTCCCGAACACACACAATCACGACCATCTCCATTGTAGCCATCGGTCCCGACCCTCCGCCACCAAACCTCCATAGACACAGCTCCAGCGGACCCCATCTGTATCAGTAGTCAACCAGACAACATCAATTTACCGTCGCCGTCACCGGTCACAGCATCCGGCACATGCTTCAACTCAGTCATGTCCGACGACTCTAGCTCCTCTAGACCCCACAGTCGTCGTCGTAAGATCGGGAGACGCCGCTGAATTCGAGAACCTCGTCGGAATTGGCCGCCTCATTTCCGGCCACCCTCTGAATACGTCGTGAAATTCGGTTTTGAGTTCTCAAAGCCATGTACGTCTCGTGGTTGTTCTCAGGAGAGGTATAACCGGTCGTCGGGGAGGATTAGGTGGCAGGTGGTTGCTGGTCGGAGATGCCTGTGACGGTGAAGGGATGTTTGTGAGTTGGGGCTTCCATTTGAGAATTAGATATATTCAAGGGGCTTAATTGCAATTTTAAATTTTTTTAATATATCTAAATTTGATACATGGGTCTGAATGCATAATTTATATAAATATGTTAGGGTGCATCTCGTCTAACGTTGAGGTGCAATCAGATAGTCGTTAAGGTGCAACTCGTCTAACGTTATTGTGCAAATGCATTACATAATAATAATAATAATAATAATAATAATAATAATAATAATAATAATAATAATAATAATAATAATAATAATAATAATAATAATAATAATAATAATAACAACAACAACAACAAGGAAACAAATAGCGTGCTATAGCGGTGCTATAGTGGCTCAAACCAACTAACGCGACGCTATCTTGCATTTCTGCGCTATACGCGCTATTGGCGATATAGCGCGCTATTGCCGCTATAGCGCTAAATCGCCGCTATTGCTGGCCGACCCAAAAACACATGGTGTTATATTCGCACGCGCCCTTTTTTGTTCAATTTGTTGCCCGAAGAAGAATGCTAACATCATCTTGTGAAAGTTGAATTTGATCTATGCTGCTTTTGATTGCTTTATTCAGTTCAGTGTATGTATTATTTTATTTTTTTTGTCGTTTTCTTTGATTATTTTGTACGACGATGTTTTTATTAATATTTAATATACACGTGGAGGTAGAATTGAGATTTCGATGTTATTAGGCAAAATTTGAAATTTTTTCCTGTAATTTATTTGTGGTATCTTCTTGTGATGATCTCTGGTAATCTGACTAAAATATTCCATTTATAGATTCACGATCCAACTGTCGCTGGGATGAACTTATTGATATGTTTAGTGAATGTAGCAAGTTTGGACAAAATAAAATAGAATACTAAAGACGGATACGCAATGTAATCAATTGGAAAATTAGTAAACTTCAGAAATATTAAATCAAGGCAAAACTTCATAAATATTAAACCAAGGCAACCCATTAATTCAAAAAAAAAAAGGAGAAAACTCTCATTCCATTTAAAATAGCGCGCTATAGCGGCGCTATAGCGTGGACAACAATGCAACGCTGCGGCGTAACGCTGCCGCTATAGCGCGGTGATAGCGCCGCTATAGCGGCCGCTATAGCGGCAATAGCGGCCAGATCAGCCAAACGCGAAATTCGATAGCTCGCTATTCGTTTCTTTGAATAATAGTAATAATAATAATAATAATAATAATAATAATAATAATAATAATAATAATAATAATAATAATAATAATAATAATAATAATGAATCTGTAATATAACAAAAGTTTAATTAATGCATAACATATTATGTTATTATAAATCTTTAAGTTTAACCTGTCGTTAACCGAAATAACAAAAAATAATCAAAATAAATTAGATTATTTAATATAAATTTATGCTTAGTAATTAATATTATATATTACGTTTCGATTAAAAATAATTTATTATGTAAATAAAATATATTGTACGATCTAACAATTATTAAGGTGCAATCCGTCCAACACTATGGTGCATGGTGACTGTCTATTGTACATCAGATTGAGCCAACCAAACCTTTTGTCCCAAATCGAGTTAAAAATTAACATAAATAATTGTTTTATTCGGCTCGGTTAACTAAATTATCTTAAGCAATCGAAATAACCTGTTATCTATATTCAATTTATTTTTAATATGTTAATAATTTTATTTATTATTTCTATATAATTCGTGGTTGAAAACATTCGAGTTCGGTCGATTTCTATCTATATTGTGCAATCTGATAATAGCTTTAAAGTGCAGCGGGTTGTTATGTAAAGTGCAGCGTGTTGTTATGTAAATTGCAGTGTGTTGATGTGTAAAGTTCAACGTAATGTTTTATAAAGTGCAACGTGTTGATTTATAAAATTACTGAGTTTTTATAACTATAAAATTAATAAAAATAATAATTTAAATAAAATAAAATTTCGAGCTGAACATTTTAGTTAATTTATTTGTAATATTGTGCAATCATACAATCATTAACGTAGAATTCATACAATTATAATGTGCACTTGCAATACATAAAAATATATAAATCATAATAATAATATTTTTCATATAGCTCGACTTTTTCATTTTTTATCGAAATAATCGAAATATATAATTATGGAAATAATCTTTATTTCAGTTAAAATTATCGAAATCGAAATAACTTAAATTCTTTAAATAATTGTTACATATAAGTAAAAATTGAAAATTTATGTTTATTTCAATTTTGATCGCTAATGTGCGGTCTGACACACATTAATGTGCAACATGTCTAACATTAATGTGCAGTGTTTCAGTCTTTAATGTGCGTTCTAACATACATTTATTATTAGTTTTAGGGGAAAAAACTTTTTCCCATCCGAACTATCACGAGTTTGGCGCTCTACCATATAATTTTTTTTTTTTTTTTTTGGCAAACCACCACCTCAACTATGCGAGTTTGTCAAATTGCTCCCTATACCAGGTTTAAGCCCGGTTTCACCTCATTGAAACCGGTTTTCAGAGGGTATTTTAGGTATTTGATGTATTTAATAAAAAATGAAAAATTATTTAATGTGATGATTTGTAATTGGAACAATCCAGATCTGCAGCATTACAATCTGTTACGCGAGGATGAAGCCCAGCCCAATTTGTTTCATTATCTCTTGAATCTTATGTTCCCATAAAAGTTTCAATGAGGCCTTCACCAGAAATTTAGACAGCCATGGGAGCAGGCATAGATTTGCGAGAAAACTAAATGAATCAAGAACACCTGCACCCTTCTTTGTATGCCCGACCTCCTGCACTCCGGTGTCCTCAAGAATTCAGATTTCGGGCCTGACGAGAAATACCTCGAGCATAGATTGTTCGGTTGAACGAATCCGTCTTCGTTGCCGCATTGTCGAGCCAAAATTGGGGAAATCGAAGAAGCCCCAATCCTCCTGATCCAACTTCTTCTTCTCCAGGCCGATTTTGGCGGTAGTGCTGGTCTTGCCGCCTTTTCCGGAGGTGATGAACGCGATGCGGGGAGTCTCGTCAGAGAGCTGCGGCTTGTAGTTGTGCTGGAGGATGGCTCAGATTGGGACGGTGGTGACGACAACTATGGTTTTGGGTTGTGCTGGATGGCTCGAATGTGGCGGCAGCTAGGGTTTTCATTGACCTCCGGAGGAGTTTTTGAGGGATAAGGTGCGGTGGTGAGGGCTTGGCAATGGTGTTGACGGGTGGAATTCAAGCATGATTTTATTATTTTTTTTAATTAAAAAATGAAAATACATAAAAAAATAGGTTAATAAGTGAGAATTTGAGAAAGAATAGGGATTAAGTTGTTATATTTGAATAATTTATGTAATTTTTTTTTTTTAGTAAAAAAAATAACCAAGTCCATTCCCTTGCGATGAGGGCGATTATTCTCCGTCGAGAGCTACACATTCCGGCAATGCGCGGCCATATTCTCTTAACTAAGAGTCACCGATCATCTATCAGTTTCTTCACTTAGCTATTTCCTCTTTTTTATCCCCCCCTCTTCCCCCCCCTTTTTTTTTATTTCCCTTCGAATTGATTGACTTAGGGTTTTTCTTCTGTGTTCTATTGTTCCTTTTCTGAGCAGGTTCTGATATTTTCTCTCAACGGGTAGTGACTCAGTGTTCAGTATGGAAGACGAGGAGCTCAGTAGGAGATTGGGTGATGTTCAGTTATCAGAGAAAGAAGCTAATCTCATCCCTTTAGCCACAGACGATATTCAGAAAAGTAAAGATGAGTGTGCCAAAAGTATTTTCGGGAAGGTCATTGGGCAACACAAGGTTCATCTAATCGGTCTGAAAAGGGTTCTTTCCCAAATATGGCAAATCCAGGCCCCGATGACAATCAAAAAAATCAGCAGCAACTACTTCCAATTCATTTTCTCAAACCTAGAAGACAAAGTCAAAGTGCTGAAAGGAACGAATTGGCTAATTGATAACCAATATCTAATCCTTAGAGACTGGTCTGAAAGCATCAATAGTCAACACGAAAGCTTCAAGGAATTGGAGATATGGGTTCAGGTGTGGAATGTCCCAATCCACTGGACGTCTACAGAAGTTGGACTCAAAATTGGGAAGGCTTTCAAAAGAGTCAAGAATGTAGTCATCCCACAATATGGTCCACTAGCTGGGAAATGTCTAAGGATGCTAGTAACCATTGATATTGAGATGCCTATTCTCAGATATGCATGCTTGCAACTGGAGGGCACCACGAAGATTGTTGAATTCAAGTATGAAAGGTTAGTGAACTTCTGTCATTATTGCGGAATCATTGGTCATTTGGACAAAAATTGTGAAAAGCGGATGCAAGACATGGACACTGGAAACCTTAGAGAAGGAGCTTATGGGGACTGGCTTAAAGCTCATGTCTACCCTCCCTTGGGACCCAATCAACAGACCAACTCAAACTCAGAATCTCCATCTCCTACTCCAAACCAAAAATCTCACACTCATTCCCCCTTAGCTGTTAAGGTTAACCCCCTCAACACCAACCCAAACACAGACACCCCATCTTCATCCAACAATACCTGCAATCAGAACTCTACCAACCTAACCCCTCAAAATAAGCCCTGTAATCCTCCAATCTCCCCTGCATCATTGATCCAACCTCTCTCACCAACCAAAAGCCAATCCTCCTCACCCATTACCCCAAACACTATCACTAAAATCATTCCACATCCTTCTTCCCCCAGAACTGACAGCTCTCAACAAATAACCCCCATGGAAACCTTACCTCTCTACATCTCTGAAGAAAACACCCAGAACCTTCAAATAGTGACCTATCCCCAACCTGTAGAC